TCTCTTTCTTTTGTTATTGTTATTTGACATTTTTTCCTAACCCTTGTTTTCTACCCTGCAGAATTTTTCACAAATCTCATATGCATCCACAGCTTCCCCAATTACTTTTTCCTGCCACCTCTAGATCCCTCTTGCTCATAGCAGCTTTTCCTTCTTTTATTTGCTTCTTCTTGAACCATTCCCAAAGAAGTGTAGTGAAGATGCTGGATTCCTCCCACCCAAACACCTGCAATTTTTGAGCCTTTTACTCCTTTGAACAATAGCCCTTTCAGTTTTTGCTTCCTTCCTGTTCCATATTTGTCATCTATCACTCGCCTCGAATTTATTATCTGATTTTAAAAAAATATTAATTTTGCCACTTATGTCCCTTGATTCATCTTGAGTGACTTCAACTTCCATGTTGACCCTTATAACAAGGTTTATCTCATTAACTACACTTCTGTGTTTGATCTTCCATCCTAGATTAGCTTTCATATTTACTTGAGTTTTGGCTTCACTATGTACTGCTGCATCTCTTCTTACGTTGATACCATTAACTATATTGCTTGGCCTGTGTCACTAGAGGTCACCCTTCCTTGGCTTTTTCAGTTCAGTCCCCTGTTTGTTCTACTCTTCTTCTTTCTTTGATCAGTATTTATAAACCTCTAGGGAGACTCACCAGCCTGTTCACTAAAGACTGCTCTTCAGCATCAGGATTCCAGTCCCATTTTCTTTAGGGCTATAGTCTTTCTTTCTTCAAAATAACCAAAGCTCAGTGCATCAGTCTTCTTTCCCCTTGACCCAAGATCTCCTGCTGGGAACCACCTCATCCCTGCAGGATTATTTTTATTTGCAGGGAATCAGCCTCCTTGTTCTCCTGTCCTTAACTTGTTTCTTGTCAGATTACAGTCCAAAGGCATCTATAAGAAGGTCATACAAACTCAGTTCTTGCCTGTGGCCCATGGGCTGCTTGCTGCAGTACCTTTTTACTCAGCAGCTCTCCGGTCTCTTCCTTGCAGGATTGTGCTCCACAAACTTTCCATGAGCGAGTTGCAACTCTTTCCACCTCATCTGAGCTTCTATCCAATTTCTATGAGTACATGGAGTTATTCTATTTCTGGCCTTACATTTTCAACTGGGAGTCAGCTTATTAGTCATAGGTGGGGCTAGGTTTAACACTGTTTAAAGGGCTAGGCAATGTGTGACACCATCTCTTTTGATAAGTTGTCCTGCTTTTATCTCACTCTCTTTGTAAGGACTTTTCAGTACCCCAGCTTTATTCTTCCTGTTTTCTTTCACCTTTCCTTTTGGTATCAACTTCAGCTGTCACTTTTTGAATAATGTATTCACCATCAGCCTTTGTCCAATCCCAGAGCTTTACTGGGATCTTTGACATTTCTTGGATGTTTTGCAATCAATATCAGTTGGTCAGAGCTGACACCAATACATTTTGGCTCTCTAGCTTATAACTCATTGCATGTCAATTTTGGGCATGGCCATGCTATCAGGAATAAATATTTTTGTTTTTATGTTTAGCCCCATGAGTGTGTGTGTGTGTGAGAGGAGGGGAGGAAGAATAGAGAGCTTATTTTAAGGAAGTGTATGAAAATCTATTGGTTATGAAAGTTGAAATATTTAGAACTGTGTACCCTGTTAACAATCCAAATAATGTAATTTGCAATCAGCTTGAAAAAAGGAAAGTGAAGGCAGGTGGGTTATAGAAACAGATGTTCTTTCTCAGTTTTTTTGTGGTGACTGAACTGAATATCATATGGTAGGGAAAATGAAAATGAATAACCTGAAACTACTATTTAACCTTGAATAACCTGAAACTAGTATTTAGATTACAGTTGGACATTATTTTCAAAAGCCCAGGGGATCCCCGTCAAATACCAAAACTACTACACTGAATTTTAAATAAGGTTCTTGCTCGCAAAAAACAGCTTTCTCAAACCTGTCCTAGTAATCCATTAATTTTCAGTCTAGCCATGTGTTTACTATAGCAGGTGTCATGGGACTAGACATAAAGATCAGTTTAAAACACTTTGCTATTACTCCATGATGGGTAATATTGAATGTAACAAACTTAAATATGGGACCATAGCACTTGTACCAGGAAGTAGTGAGTGGGGGCGGGGGTTATTTTTGTGATCAAAAGCCTCTGCAACTGGCCATCAATGTATTTAAAACTAAAAATAATGCAACCCAACAGTGGAGAAATTTGTTAAATGGTTTTGTTGCATCTGCTTTGTTTCACTTGAGTAATTAAAAAGCAAACGAAGCATTTGTATTCATAGTCTGTTTTTATAAGTACTGATACTGGTTAAAATTTACAAAAGGGACGCGATGACTTTGGACCGTAAGTTTATATAGACTTTCAATAAGATTTAGGTACATTTTAAAAATTGAATACCTTGTATGTGACTAGTATTATTCTGTTTTTCAGTACTGAATGGAAATGCTTCTTTTTCAAAACCTTAATCTTGTCCCCAAAAAGTAATTTTTCAACATATTTTCAGAATTATTATTTCACAGATATACATATGCTCTTGCTTTTGGTGGTTATATTTTAACTCTCATAAGAATGCAGCAGAGTTGTAGGTTTTGACAATCAGACCAGTATATATTTGACTTCCTATCTATCTTAGTTTCTCAGTGAAAGTTGAGGAAGCAGTCTTTCCTGGACCAGGTTAACTGTCTGAATGTTATTCATTGTATTACAGCATGGATTTCTGTATTCCATTTCTGTTGTCTTTTTTTTTTCTCTTGTCAAAATAAACTCTTACAATTTTAGCTTTGAAGGAAGCAATTAAAATGAGTGTTGAGTGATTTGGGGACAATAGACCTCATTTATTCTGGAATCCCTCAGAATTTATTCAGATCTGTGAACAGCCAATAAATAACTAAAGTATTAATTATTTAAGGAGTTTGTGGGGTGTGTGTGTGTGTGTGTGTGTTTCTGTTTCTTCTCTCCCCTCCCCTCCCCAACCCCCACCTCCCTTTCCAGAGATGGGGAGGTTCCTTTATTTTATCTTCAGACATTAAAAACTGCTCTTAATTGTCTTTTGCGTTAGATCCAGGTAGTTCTTATCCAAACATTGTAGAGGCATTTAAACAAAATGAAATAAGGTGTTCTCTAGTGACTCTACCTGTGATTCTTAAGGCAGACTAACATAGCTAACTATCTCTCTTAAGGAGAGTCACCAGCAAAGTCAGGCCCACAGTACAGACTGCTACCATTTGAGTTAACAGAATGACCAGAGTAGCTAGATGTTCTTTTCTACATAGATCAGCCATTGGAGGGATGTTATAGAAATACATTTCTATGGGTTTCATAGCTGTTTGCCAGACACCAGAATAATGTTATGGGTCTGGTGTATAGGGTCTCTTGGAAGGGAACGTACTCTAGTAACTGGTTTTAGAACCTCCTTTATCTATTCCCACCCTTCAGCACAGGGGCAGAAAAAGTCCAGCCCATGGGCTGGATTGGGCCTGCAGCAGACTCCCATTTCCCAGCAGCCCCTGCCCACATTACTGTGGCCGGTTTCCGTGGAGACCCCAAAAGCAGCAGTGCCGTGACAGTGAAGGGCCAGGATTTCCATGGAGACTGGCCCCAGCAGCACTGGCAGGGCATGCAGCTGGCTGGGAAACTGCTCCAAGGCTGGGGCTGAGATCTCGCAGTGCTGACAGTGTGGTCCATTGCTGCAACAGAGCTGGAATCCACTGCCCACATGTTCTGGGCAGGGACCTGCAGGCAGTGGATTGTGGCTCTTCTCCAGCTCCAGACCACACTGTCACCACTGCAGGATCCCAGCCCCAACCTCAGAGCAGCTCCCCACCTAGCTGCGCGCCTTGCCTGTGCTGCTGGGGCTGGTTTCCGTGGAAATGCTGGCCCCATGCTGTCATGGTGCCACCACTCCTGGGGTCTTCATGGAAACCAGCCACAGCGATACTGGGAAATGGAGTCCGGCTGCTGACCAGATTCACCATTTTGCCCACTCCTGCTTTAGCATATACTCTTTCATCCTGTCTTGCCAAAATTCTCTCTACACACAGTCTGTGTCAACAGCACACTTTTCCTTCTACCTTCTTTCTGCCCTTATCTCCTTCCTCTTTTTCTGCTTCCTTTCTTGCTTTTGTCTTTCTTCAGTTTCTTTGTTTCCTTCCCCTCACTCCATTTACAGATTGGTCAGCATAGAAGAGCCATGGCAGCTCCTGCCTGCCAAGTGGAACAAGCATAGGAAGAATCATACTGAGCTCCTGTCTGCTTAAGCTGAATCAGGTCTAGCACAGCTTGAAGTTTTAGAGCTCAATTTTACAGTTCTAGCAGGTTTCTTCTGAGTATATACAAACTGCTTTTTTGAGGTTTTTGTCTTAAGACATATTTTCATGAAGACAGTACCAAAATGAGATGTTTGTTCAATTGCAAGTCATTCATCCAAAGCATGCTAAAGGTTTTTAAAGAAATGCTGCTAATTCATACAAACAACATATAGTTTTCCTAACTTCATTTTTGAAAATTACTAAACAGTTCTGAACTGCTTCTTTAAGAAGAATTTTTTTTTAGCTAGGTAGTGTGCAAAATTTCAGTTCAAACAGTTGATGCTTAGGTAAGAAATAAATAAGCAGTTAAAATGGGTTTTCATTATGGAAAATACTAGAAAAACTTAACTATAGGCATCAGTATTTGGTCCATTTATAATCACAAAGTGGATGAGAAGAGGTTGTACAATGTTTCACTGCGTTTTACCATTGTAATGAATCCAGTAACATTTCATTTAGCAAAAGCAGGTCAAGCTGTAAGAGAATATAATTGTTATCTTAGAAATGTAGAAATAGAATTACCTTTGTTAGATCCTACTGCTACTGTAAACTTGATTGGTGCAAGTAGGCCCTTTGTTTTCTTTTTGCACAGTGCCTGCAAGAGGAATAACCTTTAGGACCATCTAAGCAGTGCCGTTATATTTCAGCACCATGTTTTACTGACACCTACAGTACGCTTATTTCTCTCTCCTTTTCAGAAGAGAAACCTGACTGCTCCAAGGCCCGCTGTGAGGTCCAGTTCTCTCCTCGCTGTCCAGAAGATTCCATCTTGATTGAAGGTTATGCTCCTCCTGGTGAATGCTGTCCACTCCCAAGCCGTTGTGTGTGCAACCCTGCAGGTTGTTTGAGGAAAGTTTGCCAACCAGGCTACCTGAATATATTGGTTTCTAAAGCATCAGGGAAGCCAGGAGAGTGCTGTGACCTCTATGAATGTAAACCAGGTAAAAAAAACCAAACAAATACTTTTTTTTTTTTTTTCATTTTGGAAGTGTTACCATTTTCTATACCAAGAAGTGCAATGTCTTCTATAACTGGCTTCTAGTAAAGACTACATTTTATACAGTGCAGAATCTTTTTTGAATTGCATATAAACCAAGAAAGTCTGGCTGTTTTATATACAAGAAACAGGTCATTGAAGTAATTTCCATTTTTTTTAAAAAAAGGCACCTTAGGTAACAAGTTTTTAAACATCCTATTTTCAGTGTCTCTCTCAAGATAAACTTAAATAAGATAAGGACAAATCTAAAATATAACATGAGGGAAGTATATTCTAATGGTAATATTGATATTTTTATCATTGGCAATGTACCTGATATACAGACTAAGATGTACAGGTGCAATTTGCAGGAAATTTTTTAGAGATATTTACATACATATTTCATAGTTTCATGGTTGTTAGGGGCTCAAAGGGATCCAACAGATCATTGTTTATGTTAAGAAACAAAACGTTAAGATGTTAAGAAACAGAATCACTCAGTCTTAAGAACTTGGTTGATTATGAAATGATGATCCTCCAAACTTTTTTTAGAATATGTTCTACACAGTCCTAACAAAGGAACATAATCAGACCCTCAGTACCATGATCAGCTTTTACTCATTTGCTACTTTCTGTAAACACATCAATAAATCTTATTTGTAAGGTATTGTTGCCATTGAAGTGGGAGGTGAAACTTGGTATTTTTCACAGTCAGTACTTGGAGGAGCATATATTGTTCAATCACAGAAAGCAGTGTTGGAAAGGACTTCAGGAAATCATCAGATTCATCCCACTGCACTGAGGGATAATCAAGTATACATACATCATTCCTTACATATTTGTGTATCCTGGTCTTGAAAACATTCAGTGAAAGGATTCTTTAACCACCTTGAAAAGTAAGTGACAGTATTTCGCTACCCTCACAGTTGGAAAGCTTTTTCTGCTATCAAACCTAAATCATCTTTGTTAGAAATTGTAGGTTTCTTCTTTCCCAAAGGACAAGAGGATCAGCTGATTGAGCATTCTCTTTTAAACATCTTACATATTGCAAGATTGATTTGATATATCTCTCCCATTCTCTTAGTCTTGTCTTTGCTAGACAAAAGCAATTCTTTCGGCTTTTTCTCATAGGTCATGTTTTCTAAACCTCATATCCTTCTTGTAGCTGTTCTCTGGAATCCCTGTAATTCATTTACAGTCTTTCTAAAATTGCAGTAACCAATACTTTTCTTCAGCTGAAACCTCCTCATTGCCAGAAAAACCAGCATAATTACCTTTACTGTAACCCCCGGTTGTACTGTTGACTAGTCAGTTATTCCCTATTGTGTATTTGTGCATTTGATTTGTGGCATTTTGCATTTCATCATGTTACTTTTGAGTATTTAATTAATTTAGCACAATTATCTTGATTTCCAATTTTGTCCTTTAAAAATCTTGCAGTATCCTGTAGTTTGGTGCCATCTACATGGACATAATCGCTGTTCCATCATCTGAATAATTAATGAAGACCTTGAATAGAACCAGGGTCAGGACTGACCCCTGCAGGATATCACTTAAAGCGCCTTTCCAGTTTGACAAGCCACTGATTACTCTTGAGTGTGGTTTTTCAAACACTGTACATTTGTGTACTTCTATATACATCTAAATTATATATTTTCTTAATTTGGTAACTGTTTTAGACGGTGTGAGATGAAAAAAGATAAGGTCTGGTGGAGTCAGATATAGAGAGAAAAAGTAGTAGTAGTAGTAGTAGTGTTGATGATGATAAACCAGACCAGTGTTGGCATATGTGAACAAACTGTATTCGATTTAACATAGAACATACATTTGATCTTCTGAAAATGTATGAATACTAATCTAATAAAAGATTGTGCAACTAAAATAAAAATAGGACTGGGCCTATATAATTTTTCTGATTTTATGATGGACTTTACATTCAGACGTGCAGCAAGTTACATTTAACAGAAGCAACACAGTATATATTTATAGTCAATACCAGAGTCCCATGTAACTTATGGATGAAGATGGACCTCATTTATAGGAAGGCATTAAGTCCATTTTTGTTATGTTGTACCTGGTTCACAGGTGCCTAAACTGTGAAAATCACAGAAATGACTATACTAAGTCAAGGAGAAGGCAGGGTAGATTTGCACCTTATGGTAAAAACAGGTGTTGGGTTATCTCAGTCTGATTGTCCAGGGTTTTGACTTCTCAGAACAGGTCAGAGGTAATCGTTTACGTGCAGCTTGACTGGCAATCAACTGGAATGGCAGGATTGTCCTGGGGGGAAAAGTGTCATCTCAGGTACTTCATGGGTACTTCAAGTGGGACACTGGGTTTGTACATCTGTAGGGTCCCAGATTAAAAGACTTTGTCCTGGGAGAAATCCAGGGTCTGGTTTTAACTTTACAGACTAACTACATCAGAGATGTATAGCATAGGCTTTGTAAGCAGATGCTGTGATAGGACTTTGGGATGCAGAGCTTCTAAATGGAAAGCAGTACTTTGAATACAAAGGGGGGGGCGGGGAGAAGGGACTGCTGAGAAGCATGGTCCGAAGGAAAGAGCAAAAAGCAGTTAACCCACTGAGGGCCATAGGGATCATGAGTGTTAATCCAGGTAATCATAGATTCATAGATTAAGGGTCGGAAGGGACCTAGTAGGTCTTCTAGCCCAACCCCCCACCAGGGCGGGAGAACAACAAAAAACCCCAAAAGAGAAACGGGACTCAAATGAGTCCAGCCAGGTAGGC